GGTGTTTGAGATAGCTAACTTCCAGACGTGGAGCAAACTCCAAACATTTTTATGTTTATAATTATGTCAAATAATGAGCTCGTGCGATGATTAGAAGCTAGGAACAAAAAAGCCTTTTAACTTCATCTCCCTCCCAAAAACGTGAGGGGCAAAAAGTTGATAAAAAAATTATGTACTATTTTCGACTCGACTTAAAATTTTTCGATAAATGCCAATTTATTGAAAAATTTTAAGTTTTATAGTATTGTCTCTCAGCTTTCAAAAATTATGACCATATAAAGTTTAAACCTCCCTCAATTTGAGGAGGTTACAAATTTATCAATAACACAATTTCTTACCATGTAATTGTGACTTTTCGATTATAAAAAGAGATTTGAGAAAGCACAACAGAGTGTACAACCCAGTAAGCCCAGAAACCAACAAACTTGCTTGCAATAAGCAAATTTTACCATTTTTAATATAATTGTGACATTATAGATCAATGTAAAGCCAGTGAAATTATCAATGGTATTTTCAAACATAGTATTAAGATGAGAAAAAAATACTCAAGTGTGAAGCCAGAACAGCTCATTTGCCCAAACAGAAAGATTCTAATAAAATCTGCTAAATTGAATGACTCAAGAACGTGTATTAAGTATATCTCATATGATCATATTGATTTTTATAATGAACTACTGCAATTGCCTACAGCAGAAAGCAACGAGAAAATGTTGGGGGAAAATTATTAAGGATTGCTGATAAAGTTGCTGTAATAGACCATTTTTCATTATATTTTTTGTTAAAATTTGCAAACAATTTATAAATGTACACTTTGTGAAAATTTATAGGAGTTTATGATAGCATTTTATATAGCCCAAAATTAAAATCATAATAAAATAAGCAGTAATTACTTGTTAAATGTTAAAAGTGATAAAGTCCACAGCGTTTTTTTAGTTTCCCGAAAGTTTACATTGTTGGACTTCCGCCCTTTTAACATTTACTGATTCATAATATGAATCAGTAAATTTTAAAAGGACGAAAGTTTAACAATCTAAACTTTCGGGAAACTAAAAAAAACTGCACAACTCTCTTATTAAATTTTTGTTAATGGTTTTTAATTCTTTTACATGAATTTCATATATATATATATATATATATATATATATATATATATATATATATATATATATATATATATATATATATATATATATATATATATATATATATATATATATATATATATATATATATATATATATATATATATATATATATATATATATATATATATATATATATATATATATATATATATTAGGGCATGTCAAATTAAGGACTAAAATCTAATTAGGATTTACTTTTTAAGATTTATTTCTAAAATTTGATTAAAAATAGTAAAAATACTTTCATTAGAATATAACAAGTTATAAATTATATTTAATCAGTATTTAATTAAAATTAACTTTAATGGCACCAAAAAACCAAAAACAATACAAACAAGAAATACATCAGCTACTCCCTAAAGTAAATTTATTGGTAGAGGAAAACAACTTTTACTATCTAAGCTCCCTACTTACTGCAAGGAGTATTTTACGATACGGGATTTTTTTGAGAGAGACAAGTAATCAAAATAAAAGAAACTATACTGTTGATAAACAAGTTATTGATATGACTCCATCGATATCTTCTCAGTGGAAAAAAGCTAATTACAAGTTTGTAAATTCAGTAATAATTCAAGAATTCAAGACATTAAAACTAAACTTAAGTATCTTTGGGAAACTGCAGTTGAAAATCCTTGAAAATATTAAAAAATCAATAAAGGAAAAGTTAATTTCAAAAATTGACTAACTCGTTGATATTTTATCTTGCAAATGTGAAATAATATTTTGTTCAAAGTATGGTTGTAACCATAACTGTAAAAAGCAAGTGCATGTTAAATGCATGTGTGTGCGAGAAAATAAAATTCCTTTACTCAGCTTTATCTCATAGAGATAAAGTTCGTAGTTTCGCACATTACCATACTGGTAGTATTGACATAAAAGAGTCAATAACAAAAAAAGAAGTTAGAGAAAAAAGAAAAGAGAAGCATCATTGCGAGAGAACAAGGACACGTAAAGTTCAGCAAGACTAAAATTTCTTAGTAGAGGTTAAAGAATTACTTATAGAATATCTTTGTTATAATATGAAGTTATTAAAGTAAATGTATACTTTAAAAAAATACTATTTTTTATAAAAACTACATTTTGTTAATAATTATGAACAATAATAATATATCAATAAGATGAGATATTCCATTTAATTCTAAATTGAAAAAACAGACGACGAGCGTTCAGAATCAGATTTTTCTAGAGATTCAGAACCTTTCATGATCATTGTAAAAATTTAAAATAGGATGGACATAACAAACATTGCGATTGATAGTATGAGACATCGCTCAGATTCAAAGGAAACTGCGGAAATAGCAATTGCAGCACTAGTTATTGATCAAAACAAGATTAAAAGAGCACAAGAAAAGTTAGCATCGGAATTAAGTGAAAAATTTGATAAAGATCTTGAGATCTGTATTTTTTTGATGGCAGAAAAAATAATACAAAAGTATTAACATAGTTTAATGACAAATATTTCCGTTGTAATATTATAGAAGAACATTTTTCTGTAGTTACTGAACCAGGTGGTAGATATCTATTTCACTTTGTTCCAGAAAAGAATTATCAAAGAAAACATGCTGAGATAATTACAGACCACCTGGTTGTTGGAAAAAAAAATTAGGAATGCAATTAAAAGCCATTGGGGGAGACAGCACATATGTAAATGTATGAAGATTGATTTAATGCAATGGATGAAAATAAAATTGAGAAGGAGATTTGAGTGGATTGTTTATAATCTTCTCACTAATGAGTTAGGGTTAAGGCACTTAGTTATAAACTCAGATGGCCCAACAAAATGTCAAAATGAGTGGTCTGGACCACTTGGAAAAAATGTTGAATACATCTACAGATCTTGAAATCAATCCTAATTTTACAACAATTGATAACGAACTTCCGTTACCTGTTCTTAGCCCAGAAGTTATCAAAAGTTTGAGAACTGATCAAATGCCAGAAATAGGACCTGTTTGTCATAGCAGATGGCTCATAACAGCACTAAGCTTTTGCAGAATATGGGTTTTTCTGTATGGGCTATCTGGCGTTAACTTTCAAAATCTTACATGGATTATTGTATTTATAATAGTTGTTTATATTCCAAACTGGTTTAACATAAAAGTCAAAGCATGTTGGGTTGAGGGTCCTAGACTTATTTTATACCAACTAAAAATCCCTAAAAACCAGAAGAAACCAGTTTTTGATATTGTAATTCCCATAGTGAAAAGTTTTGCTTGGTATGCACATTCAGAAGCTATTTTGCAAGCAATGATGTTTAGTAAGAATAAAGAAGATAGAGCTCAAGCTGTCGAGACTATTCTTAGAATCCGTTGGAATTAATACAAGCAAACTAATGTTGGTGATTATAGCCATAGGCGTTGAAGAACACCTTATACTAACATTGGTGCTGAGAATCTTTACAGCCTCATTGACTGGAACAATAATGTTATGCAATCTGTTGCTATTAAAGATTTTAGTAATAGGTCCATGGTTGTTGCCCAATGGTGTTCTCATACGCAATCAGTTGAGAGGTGTGTACAGATAGCTAAAGAAGCTGCAAGACATGTATAGAGCAGAAAGAAGGGAATCTTACATTACAGCTCAATTCATTAGTAGCGTTGATGTCTGCTAATAAGAGCAAAAAAGATATGATTGGACTTCTAAACTATAATTAAAATGATTTTTTATAGTTGCCTTTTAAAAAATATAAGACTTTTTGTTGTTTGAGTATTTAAAGTATAATTATATACTTAATATAAAATTTAATTTAGAATAATATTTAATAATTATTTCATATTTACTCAAATACTTTATTATTTCCTTAAGCTAGCTTTTGTTATACCTTATCTTTACTGAGTCATAAATTTTTGTATTTTTGTGTTTAATTATAAAGTATGATTCTGATACAGTCAAAATTATGAGTGAGTATTAATTGCAAAATTTTTTAGGTTTTCCTTGAAATTCGGAGAAGTTTATTACTTTATAAAAAGTTTATAAGACGACAGTTTTCTTTTTTTTCAATTTAAAAGCAACTGAGTTTTAGGGACTTTAGGGTGCACATTTTGTAGTTTCTATATTAGTCATAAACAGTGAAACTAAACTTGAAAAAAATGTAGCAAGTGTTAAAATACAAAAAAATTTAAATTTATTTTCTTTATTTATAAGTAAAATCCTAATTTAATTATAACCTTTATGGATATAAATTTTTTTTTTTAAATGACACACCCTAATATATATATATATATATATATATATATATATATATATATATATATATATATATATATATATATATATATATATATATATATATATATATATATATATATATACACACATAAATTAACACTCACAGAACAAAAAATGCCATTGATGTCATACTGATATAGGGAGCAGTTGAGACTTCAATACATGCATTGATTAAGGGTTTGGGCAGGTATCTAAATACTTTATAGAATATTACAGCAGAAAATAATTTAATTTTTTCCCTCTTTTTTTGTAACTGCATGGATTTAAATCAGCATTTTTAAAATTTTATTTTTTAGCTAAGTGCGAAACATTATTAAAGATGCTATACTAAAACAGCCATATTGTTGCTGTACATAGTATTTCTCTTCATTGCCAGAAAAAATGAAACAAAATTGGCATTTAAAAAACATTTTCCATTAAACATGTTCTTCATATGTAGATATTGCCTGTTTAAATCTTCAGTCGTATGTACAATATACTATTTTAAATAGTAAAAACAGTATTAAAAAAAAAATACATATATATATATTACATTTATGAGTACACAAAATATCAAAAATATTTATATCGGAAATGTGTAAAATATAAATTTTAACACAAAACTGCTAGATTATACTCCATATGCTGTAATTATTGTATACAACATAGATTATTTTGTTTTAAATCTTTTTCTTTATTTGCTAAATCAATATAGCGATTTATTTCTTCAGCACGTTCAATCATTTTTTCAGCCTTTTCTTTTATTAAATACCGATAATCATTAGTGTTTGTTGAATCTGATAATAAAGACATACATATTTCAATACCTTTATTGTATTCCTCTAAGGCTTGTTCATATTCTCCGTTATTCTCAAAATAGTCTCCTTTATCTTCATAAATCTGTATGTTAGAAAAATCAGAGCTGTTTTTAAAAAAGGAATTTAGATTTTGAGTTTGTTGAATTTTTTTTTTTCTATTTCTTTTATTGTCAATTTTAATTTTTCAGCTCTTTCGATGTACTGCAATACTTTTTCTCTAATGACTAACTTTTTTTCAGTATCTCTCTCATAATCAATTGCTGGCAAAAAGTGTTCTAAAGCTGAACAATATAATTTTAAAGCATTTTTATAATCTTTTTCGCTATCTAGTTTAACAGCTTCAGTAACAATTTTGACTGCTTTTACTAAACTTTCTTGAGATGGTGCAGTGTTTAAATCCACAAAAGGATGAGAAAAAAATTCTTCAAATGTAATCCTTTTTTTGGGGTCCCTTTGTAAAAGTTTTTCTATCAAATCTTTACACTTGGAAGATATTATTGGATGTTTAGGCAGGGTAATTGGTTCTTTTGACTTTATTTTCATTTCTAACTCATCAAATGTTTTTGAAGCAAATGGAGCATAACCAAATAAAGCTTCGTGAAGAATTACTCCAGTTGACCATAGGTCAACAGAAGCGTCATAATAGTCAGAGCAGAACATTTCTACCGCCATATAAAGTGGTGAGCCACGAAGGTTGTCATGTCCCTCTTTTCCTAGCAAATATTGAGCAAACCCAAAATCGCCAACTTTTAAACTAAAATTATTCTTTGATTCAATAAATAAGTTATGAGGTTTTAAATCCATATGAGATATATTTTTTTCTCTAATGTAACGTAAAGCTAAAGCTAATTGTCGTAAAAACTTCCGAGTGGTATGTTCAGGTAATCGTTTGTACTTCTTGATATACGATGATAAATCACCACCACTGCAATATTCAAGAATCAAAAATATATGTTCATTATCCCATTCAAAATCTTTCAATTTTACAATATGTTCATGATTTAGACTTTTAAGTATTTCGATTTCCCGAACTAAATTTTCAGTTGATTTTTTACTGAGAGAACTTTTTTTAATACATTTAATAGCAACAACATCGCGTAAATTTCCTTTCCTAAAAGCTTTGTAAACTGTTGCATAAGAACCTTGTCCTAATTTCTCTGTCAAAACAAAATTTTTCATTTTTGGCGGAACGTAAGAAAATTTGGCTACATCTGTATTTCTAACATGTTCAGCATGCCCAGCCATTTTGTTGTTTTGAAGAATTTAACAAATTAAAATTATGTACGGAGAACTGCTATTTACAGCATAAAACACGAAATGTGAGAAATAAATTATCGTCAATTTAATTCACCGCACAATGGGCTACGGTGTGCAAAAATCAATATTTTTCAATTTTTGTATAAAAAACTACTATTTAAAAACGTATCATATTTACATAAAAATATAAGGATTGTTAATCAAAAAAGGCATCTTAACTAAAACTTTTTAATTTTAATTTGTCACCCTGAACAATATTTTAGGCGGTCAAGCTTTTCTAAAATAGTTTTAAAAATATTTATACTTTTTTATGCGTTGCAGTTACGGATCTAGGGGGAGAGAGGGAGGAAGGGTATGCATCCTCCCCTACCAGAATCTGAAAATCCTAAAATATCTTAGAAATTGAGAACCTTTTTTTTTAGCAGATGCAAATATGGTACATAATTCAAAAATATTTCAAGATATATTCAATGAGTTGAAAACAGTTTTAGTTGCTGGTACTTGCAGATGTAGAATAATTAACTAAAACATTACACATGATTTTATAGTGCGATATCTGTCAATAAAACATTTTTTTTTATATATTACTATATTTTATTGATTAAACAAAAACTCTATATATACATAGGTTGTTTAGATATTGTTAGTAAAATAATTGCCAACTATATTTTACTAACAATATATTAGATTTTGCAGAATAATAAAGTATAGATATTTAAGATATGGTATGTAATTGCAACAAAATATATAAATAAGTAATAATATAAAAAGGAAGTACCATGGTATATACAACTGCTTTAGATCCAATAATATGTCTATAAAAGGTCCAACAATTTATGATCAATTAATTATCAAGTGATATTTTGGAATAATGTTAGCCGCAAAGCTGCAGCATTCACGAAAAAGTATGCAAAATAGCTGGATTTAGGCTTTATACATTCTGCATATGTTTTACCTGCTACTCCAACAATTGTTAACATTCCTCTCAGTAGGCCTAATTTAAAATTTGATGAGTCCCTTTTGAGATCTAAGTATAGAAAAATTGCAGAAATGAATCAATACTTAGCTAGCCAACTATTATTTGCAACAAAAATCAAATTTGGAAAAAATAATGAGTCTAAAAAATCCAAAGTAACAGAAAAATTGTTAATGGATACTATGCCTGCTTCTTATATGTATGCTGATAAAGCATTAACACTTATTTTGGATTGTAATTTGACAAAGGCATCTCATAATAGTATAATAGAGTAACTCGAATATACAAAGCTTTTTTGCCCCCCACCCCACCTTAAATTGAGGGGAGTTTATATGGTCATAATTTTTAAACGCTAAAATATTATGTTATGAAACTTAAAATTTATCAACGAGTCTAGTTCAGAATAGTACAAAAAATATTTGATCAACTTGATGCTCTCTCTTGTTTAGGGCATGGAAAAAAATTTAAGGCCTTTTTGTTTTCAGACTCCAATCATCGTAATTATTTGCAAAGCATCCTTCTTTGACATAATTATAAACATATAAATGTTCAAAGTTCGCTCCATGTCTGGAAGTTATCTCAAAGAATAAAAAATGCTTGATCCGCTCCTGAATCTATTGGTGTTGATCATATTAATAAAATTACTATGATTGATGGTAAATCTTGTACTGCATTATCAGATATAGCTTACTCGTCACAGTACTGCTCTCTATGTGGTGGTAATCTTAAAGAGATAAATGATATTGACAAGGTACATAGTAAATATATTTTGATTTTAATTCTATATGGATACAAACATTCGAATGCTTAATCCCCATTGCTTACAAACAGCTAGTCAAGAAATGGTCATCAAGATTATCAGTTGACAAACGACAAATTGAAATACACATAAAAAAAATTCAACTTGCTTTTTCAAAAGAAGATGGGGTTGATTGTCAATAGGCCTAAGGCTGGCGGTTCATGAACATCTAATGATGGCTACACCTCCAGAAGAGCCTTTTAGAATGAACACTTGTTTTCTGAAATCACAGGACTCAATTTTAAACTTATAAAAATGTTACATGTTGTTCTGACTTGTATTTCATGTAGTTTTGAGCTTCATCTGAATATATACAGGGAATATTGTATACATACATAAAGGTTTTACGTGAAACGCTGTGTATGGTACTATATGCCGCAGAGCATTCACAAAATGCTATTTCATGCTTCTAGTGTTCTTAATTACATGGCATCACTAATTGTGCTATTAAGTAAAGAAGCCAAATTTTGGTTTTTTGTTTTAACTATAATGAAACTCAAATATATGCATAGTTAATTAAAATTGTCAGTATTTTATAATTTAGATAAATTAAAATGTTCCCAAATAAATTAATTTGGGATACCAGAGCATTAAAAATTCTTTTTTTTTAATAACTTGCAGTAAATAAAGTCATGAGTTTGTATAAAAATTGATTGCATGCGTAAAAGCCTTAGTATTATAGCAACCTTAATATTTTATATAAAATGCAGACCTCATATTGGTATTCATGTCAAATTGCTGTATATGACACACAAAAACAACTATAATTAGGCCAAAATAGGTATCCATAGCAACCAAGTAAAAAATAACACATTCATAAGAAGCGCAGGCCAAGGATTTGTGCTCGTGTCAAACTAAGTGTATATAGTATACATAACATATCTGCAACTACAAAAGTAGGTTGTTACGATATAAAAAGTTAAGTAACAACAAAAAAGGAATGCCTAATTTACTAAAATAATTATTAGCTAAATCATGGAAGTATAAAAAATATAATACTTCCATGGTTCCATGGTTCCATGGTACTTCTATAATACTTCAATTGTTAAATATAACTAACTATGGATCTACAAATACTTTCTGTATTCTCCAAAACCTTGAAATGTATATAATATATATATATATATATATATATATATATATATATATATATATATATATATATATATATATATATATATATATATATATATATATATATATATATATATATATATATATATATATATATATAATAAATTACCAATAGTTTTGAAAAGAATAACTTCATGAAATTCTAACATTCATACAGGCTTCATGATGCCCGGGGTATATTGAAAAAAAATTTACTGGATGCCTCTCTCCCTAACCACCGCCAAAATAAAAATAAGAAAAATGAAGCTATTATTTCTAGTATTCACAAAATATTGTAAAAATTCGGTATTTAAGATAATTCACGAATTAAACAATTAAACACAACAAAGATAAAATAACATTTTTGGATTAGGTTTTCAAGTTTTTCCGTCAAAGGTGATGCCCGGGGAAACCGACCCAGATCCCCAACCCTCAGTGCGCCCCTGGATAACAAGAGGCTATGCAATGACTCTCTTTTCTCATGATATTTGAGGATTGATTTTTGATTACAAACATTTTTGTTCAAATATTAGTGCAAGTGGAAAAATATTCAATGAAGCATTGGAAAAAAAAGATTTTCTTTCACGCCATTAATATTTTAGAATAAATATGGAGTAAAACAGTCATTGACAAATATCCAGGGTTTGCGATGGCTATTCCAATACTAGAAGGTAATGCCATTCTACGAGTTTCCAGAAAAAAATGTTTGAAACCAACTATGAAAATTACAGCACATATTGAGTTCAAATTACATGCTTCAAGTGGTCAAATACGCAGATGTATCTTGCTGCAAGTCATTTTGCTATTCTCAATTTCAAAAAATTTTACTAAACAGGTTTTTGCCATACCCTTTTTCATTAATCCCAAATTCAAACTCATACAGTCATACCCATTTGATTTGTATTGTCCATCAGTCTCCTGCGTGGATTTGCAAAAGAGACAATGTCAAGTTTTTGGCTTAAATTTTCCAACTGTTGTAGCCAAGATAAATCTCTATTGCATCTGTCGCCGAAAAAAACTGAATAGCGTCGTATTAGTTGTAGTCGAATCCGCAGACATTAGCGAATGTTCAGAAAAAACACGTCTGCTCACCCGCTCGTGTGACCAGAAACTGCAGTTAGAACTGTTTGGATCTTTTTTAGTTATACCTTTGGAATAACTTGGTAATTCTCCACGTTTACTGATTTTGAAGAACCAATTATCTTAAGCAATTTTACTAGGTTAAAATTTTGTAAATAATTTAAACATAAAAAAAATGCATTTGATAATAGAAGTTAATACGTACGGCTGAAAATGAACAATTTAAATTCAGTATTTTTAAAAAAAAATCACCCTAATTTCGGGAAAAATAATAAAATGACGTCTCTCTATGGGAGGTGGGTGGGCGGGTCAAGGGAAATGTGATCAAACGTGACAGGGTAGGTTCTTTAAAAATGACCATTTTTGGCGTTACGTAGTTACGCAATGACCTCTAATTAAATAAAAAATTAGTTCCATATATTTTTTAGTATCTCTTTTGTTTTAAATAGCTTTAAGCAACAAAATCTTAATTCGCCTTTTTTTAAAAAAAACTCTAAATCATATCACTTTTACATCACACTTACTTAAAATTATATACATATCACTTGTTTAAATTTAACACGTGATCGATCTGCTTCGTAATAATTCAAAAATTTGGCTTTAATTGCACTTTCAACATAACACGTGTTTCTGTATTTCGCCAACTTAAAATATTTTTTTTTTACTTTATTGTGAGTTTATTTAACGGAATTAACGGAAAATATATGGAACACAAAATATTTCTATTTAAAAGTTCAATGTTTTATAAAAATATTGTAACGAATTCAGTAACGAATGTAAAACCAAGTAATAAATACACGCGACATTTAAATTAAATTTAAAATCTCATAAAGCACGTGTCAAACTCGAGTAAAAATACCCGTGAAACCAATTTGTTTTTAGTTCACGCCTGGATTGTGATAAATGCGTGTCCACACGGGTTTTAATTTCGAAAGTGAAACTAGATGTGTCGGCTATGATACTTAACAAACTTTAAAATAATATATTTTAACTTCGAGATAAATAAGTTTAAACGTAAAGGTGAGTTTCTACGTTTTCTTATAAATTTTAATTTGTCTGAAGTAAAACTGCGCATGCTCACGTGATTATTTTTCCCTTTCCTATCCCTTTCCCGTAGAAAAACGGATGAGTGGAAACTCATCTTAATAGGTGTAAAGAACGTAATAGGTGTAAAATTCTGAAATTTCAGAACTTCCAAATTTTATATTTATTTGCTTAGCTAAAAGAATGGTTAGCTGATGTAAACAACCAAGTGATTAGTAAGCCAATATACATAGCTGATAGAGTCGTAAAGTGGTGTGAGTAGCTGAATGATAAGCTTATGTGTATAACTATGCAAATTGACGTAGATAACTGAAGAACAGTTCTTTCTTGGAGTTCTTCTCACAAATAATTACAAGGAGATCATTATTTTTTTTTGCTTCCATTAATTTAGAGCGATAGTTATAAAAAAAAAAAAAAAAAAATTGGACTATTGAGTCATAATCCCGAAATTGTTCTTTATTAATTTACGGTTTAAAACTACATCTTGATGGTGAACATCCAATATAATTGGTTAAATACTAAACAACAAAACTATCTTTTTAAAGAACTGAGTTTATTTAAGCTTTTTTAATTACATTTAACCGCTAAAACTTTAAAAATTACATTATTTTTTTAAAAATGTAATTTTTTTACAGAAACTAAATTTTTTGAGTTTTTTGAGTTGAATTTATTTTTTGAGTTGAATTTTTTGAGTTGAATTTATAAATTCAACTCAAAAAAGGTGACGTAATAGACATAAATGGTGTTTATTTCGTCAACATTTTTATTACGAATATTTTGTTTGTTTCTCGTTCTCTTCGTCCACGTAGGAATGATATCTTGTCAAATACTAATTCCGTACCATATATATAGGTTATCTCGATAAATGTTATAATATAATTTATTTTTTTAAACCAGCATCGTTATTGATAGTTTTTTTTTTCAAACTGTTTGTTTTTGTACAGCTACTATACCAAAGTTGCTGCGTAGTAACTAAATGTTACGTTGGCAACGCTCTAAAAGCAGTTTTTTGAAGCTAGTTTTCCAAATTTTTTATTATCTCAAATAAAATCTTTTTGTTCTAATTTGATCGAATATTTTTTTGGTAATACGCAAGAAATAAAAGTTAAAAATCAACCCACTAATCCAATTAAAAATATTTTGCTCCATTACGTGAATAAAATATTTTTAAGATCTAACGAGAAGTAAAAGTAAATTTAAAAAAAAACAGTTTTTTCTTAGTTTTTATAAACTTTTGGTCTCTATTTAACAGGTTTTTTATTAAACATATCAGGTAGCCCACTAGGTTGGGCCAACGTTGAAACGACGCTGGGCAAATGCTGTTCTGACGTTGGCTTAACGCAGTGAGCTAGCTAGGATTGTACTTAAAGATCAAGTGGTTTTTTAGGGTTGTTAAAAATTGTATTAACTTCGTTCTTTAATTTTGGGGATGACATCATGATGCAGTTGGTTTCATCTTCGTATACGTTTAACTTCATTTTTATTTGGCTTTTTTGTTGTTTCAGCTATTATATATTGTAATTTGTTTTCTTTTGTAATTTATTATTCACGTTTACATCTTATAAGTTTTGGTAAAACGTAACAAAAAATGAAAATTTATATAAAAACAAATATAAAAAGTAAAATTAAGTAATTTCAGTTTTCAACTTAAGTTTACGAATTTAAATTTCTAATATTTTCATAGCTTTAAAACTTTCTTGTTTCATTTTTATATGCTTTAGTTTTTAACAATCGAAGTAGTAGTTAATTCATCATAAATATTAGGTGGATACTTCATTGACTTTAATTATGCGTGGATATTTAATCGACTTAAAGTAAAAAAAAAAAAAAAAATTACAAGAAAATGAATTATAAATGTTTGGCACTTTAATTAAAGTTTTCCGAGCTCAGTATAAATGAACTTAATCAAATCTTGTTAGCAATCATTATGATTCAGCTTATATGGCGTTTCTTGAGCATCGGATAGAAATGATACTAAGGGCATTAATACGTAAAATTTTTATTTATTTCCAGCTACGTTATGCAGCACTGTGAACAAAACGTACCGCTTTGTATTACTGTAGTTGCCTAAATGATTGCATTATTATTAGGAATTTATCAATGATTTATTTTATTTTTTTAAATCGTTGTAAATGAGGGAGTTATTAATTAAATTTATTTTAAGCTTTAAAAGTTTTAATTTTTTTAAGAGTTTTAATTTTTTTAAATATAAAGCTTTTATTCTTTAAAAAAATTTTTATCAGCACTTTCCAAACTTTTGAAAAAAATAACTTAACAAGCAATATATTCAATTAAAATTGAAAAAACCCAAACGCAGCAAATACAAAAATTAATTTCAAAATTAAAACAAGTTACTGCGTTGTTAGCAATTTTGTTTAATAGTTAAAAAAATTATAATTAATACAACTAAATCAAGTAACCGCTTGCATTTTATGTTGTCCACTTGATTCTTCTTACGCATAAAATGCTAAGCAATATAAAATTTAAAATATTTTGTTAAAGTCAAATGTTGAACTTAAAAAAAAGTAATTAGGGACATATTGTAGCTCAATTTATTTTATCTTCAAATTTTTATACTTAAACAAAACTTAACTCTTTTTTTTAAGTTAAAAAAGGTAAATTAACATTTTGCATCCTTTTTAATTAACATCTTGCATCCTTTTTAATTAACATCTTGCATCCTTTTTAATTAACATCTTGCATTCTTTTTAATTAACATCTTGCATTCTTTTTAAAGTGTTTAGTGAACTCTTATCAATCAGTCTAACGAGCAACTCAAGACTATGACGTCAAAAAAACGACAGTCAAAAACAACAACAAGTCAAAAAAAGCTTGTTATGACAAGTTGCATATTATATATTGGTTTGTACTGATTGGCTTAATTAGTTTTAACTAATATTAGAAAGCACATTATAATTATTATAATTATATTATTCTTTTATATTATTATTATATTATTATAATATATATTAATTATATTCTTCTTCTTCTTATTATTATTATAATTTCTTACACTAGGTTAAAAAAAAAAATCTGGCCAATTGTTAACTTTAAAATTGCATTTAACAAAGGCTCTACTTTACCTGAGTAAAATAGTAATTAAAACATCACCTTCTGCTCAATAATTGAGCAAAACATTTCCTACTTTTACTGTAATTAAATAAAGGTCAACACTTATTAAATATTCCCTACTTTTACCGTAACTAAATAAAGGTCAACACTTATTCGATTACTGTAACTTAATCATTTTACTCAAAGATGCATTAAACTTCTAAGAAGTGAGAGTGGCGTCTAAGCTGCACAAAAATACTTAATTAATTGCGTTGGACATTTAAGAAGTGTGAGTAGCGTCTACTCTGCACGAAAATACTGTTTTTCTTAAACTGTTTTAGGATACATTGATCGAAATAAGTTTAAAAAGAGTTTTGGTCTCATTTTTATTTTTTTTAATATTTACTTATTTGATCAAACGTAATTTTATAGAGGATATAATTTCCTAATATCATTTTTGCGCTTTTAATCTAAAAACGTGCGCTTTAATTTTTCAGAAAAAAAGAAGCAAAGAATAACGAAAGAAATGATTGGTGCCACATGCCAAATCTTTAGTTGATATAGCAGCGCTTCTTTCCGGCGTCAGGCTATAACATAGTCAATGTGTGTACTGAAGCCCCAGCAACTACCTGATTAGTATGACGTTATCATTATGCTACTATATATATATATATATATATATATATATATATATATATATATATATATATATATATATATATATATATATATATATATATATATATATATATATATATATATATATATATATATATATATATACATATATATATATATATATGTGTGTGTGTGTGTGTGTGTGTGTTTGTGTGTGTGTGTGTGTGTGTTTGCGTATCTATATATATATAGCTAATCCTTACTTTTAAAAATAAAGAATAATATTTTGCTCAAATTATAAATATCACGTATAAACTAATCTTGTTAAACTGTATCTTACACTTTTCAATAGATTATTTTTAATCGTTTTATTAATTTTAATAGATTTTAATTAACTTAAAGAAAAAAAAAATCATTAAAAACAGCCAATGTTTTTTTTTTTTGAAAAAAGGCACGATAATCTTAAGATAATTTTTGTTCAATTACCTGTTAAAAGATTTTGATGTTTGTTTTGGTGTGTCTTTAATGATATACAGAAATATTTAGAGTGGTAAATATATCTTTATCTGAAAAATAAAAAATTATTAATTGATTTTTATTTTGTTTTTCTCTATCAACTTTGTGATCATACTGCCAATAAATGTAAATAAAAGATAAATATATATTTAAGCTCTAATAATTTATATTTATAGATGTTTTCATTTTGTCTATTTTTTAATTTACAGTTTTAAAAATGTAAAAAGAAAAAGTGAAAGATCAAAACAATGAAAGTTTGCGGTAAAAAAGAAGAAGCAAACTCTTTGGATTTAGATGAAACTTTACCACACAGAAAATCTAATATCGATGGAGGATGGGGTTGGTGTGTTGTTGTAGCAGCGTTTCTTACGCAATTTGTTGTGGTTGGTTTACAGAATTCTTCTGGTGTAATATTTAACGAGCTGGTTCTGAAGTTTAACCGACCGAGAGGAGAAACAGGTAAGTATAGATTAAAAAAAAAAATTGTTTTTTTTTTATGTTTTTTTTTCTCTCAAAAACAGATTTGATATAAACAGCAGTTAACTAAATCAGTTAAGAATTTTTATTTAATTTAACAATAACCGCGTAAAAGAAGTACGCAGCCTAATTTTGTTTGGCATTAACAGCTGATTTTTGTTAATATTGTATCTAACTTTGATATAAAGCTTTTCAAATCAAAGTTATATGCATGCTATAAACTACTTCATTGATCTAAACTATTTCAATTACTAATAGATTTGATAAGAATATGTATCTCTTTGGATTTTTTGTTAACTGACGATGAAATCTCTTATTATGACCTCTTGTAATTGACGCTATTAATTTATTAGGTGGGTACTTTCAAGTTAAACTATCTAGTTGTTTTACTATTTGGAAAAATTAAATTAGGTTTTTTTAATTGCTTCGTTTTTTGAAAGTCCTAACTTAAAATATATTAGTCTTATCTACATTTACATTACATATATGAAGAAATTTTGTTCGTTATGCTTTATGTTCTATCTTTTGTTTTTTGGTTGTCTTGTTGCGCAGTTCTTGCAACAGTCTTGCAACGGTCTTGCAAAAGAATGTTCAAGAAATTAATTGAACGTTTTACCATACCTAGGTATGGAAAACGTTTTATTTGCTTTTCATGGCACAAAATTTACTTGACTAGACATTTCAAGTCATTTCAAATCACAGTTTCTAAATTTTATTTTATTTACATATTTATTTATATTTATTTATTTTATACCTATTTATTTACACATTTTTACTTATTCATATTTATACCTATTTATTTACATATATTTTTTTTTAATTTGGTTTATTACATTGTTTTTTTTTACATATACAAATGCGTTTACATATGTTTACTTTTAAATTTAATTGTTATTTTTTTTTTACAATGTCATTTATTTATTTAGATATGTTTTGTTCATTTCAAAATCATAAGCTAATCTGATTATGTTGAATAGTGTTAAATCATAAGCATATATTTTACACTTAGTTACCAACTCGTTTGGTAAATCATAAGCATCCATTTTACACTTAGTTACCAACTCGTTTGGTAAATCATAAGCATACATTTTACACTTAGTTACCAACTCGTTTGGTAAATCATTTGTATAAACAGTAAACATAAAGGAACTCGAAATCAGAACCTTTTAATTTGAGTCAAATTTAAAAACTCGTTATTACAAACAACACGTTGTCCTCTGTTACACAAAATATTTCTACAACATTCACGTTCATTATTTTCAATTCCATAGTCTTTTAGTTAAAAAACAATATATAGGAACCAAAAACTTCTGGCGGGAATGTTATAGGTACCGATGAGATTTCTTACAAATTTTTCTTTCTATGTAATTTTAAAGCCATAGATTCTAGAAGGTTTTAACAACAGTTTTTCTCACTAGTAAATCCACGTTGTTTTTTAGTGAAACTGTTTTTTTTTCCGAATGCGACATAGATGTAGCTTTTAAGATACGTTTCATTATTTTGCTTGTAACTAAAGTAAATGATACTGGCCAATAACATGCTGGATTTAATTTATCTCCATTTTTAAACTATGGCGTTACATTTGCACTTAAATGCATCAACGGTGCTTTTCTAGCATGATTTAAATAAAGTAATATTCAAAATAAATTTTGAAAGAGACTCATGGGGAAATCTTTTATGAGAGTTTCTGATTTAAAATATTCACTGAATTAAAATTTTGTGATGTTTTATTTGAATACAAACTCCAAACCATTCAATTAAAGAAAGAATAGATTCACAACCATTCAATTAAAGAAAGATTCACAACTTTATTTGTCTGATAAAGAGAATTTATTAGCACAGAGCTGACGTAAAAAATCAATTTAAATTGTTAAACTAAATGATTTTTTAAAATCAACTTCAAGTATCAAATCATGCTATAACTTTTTATACAGAGCCAGGGCCGCCCTGAAGGAAGGGTGTCCCCCGCCCCCCAAAGCTGTAATATAAGCATTTGAGTTGGCATATTGAGCAAGTTTTGAACTATAGTTGGCAAATTGCAAATATTGAGAAGTTTTTTTTTTTGGTGTCTCTAGTTGACAAAAAAATACATACCCTTACCCCCATGGAAGACCTCTTCGAGACGACCCTGTATAGATCTTTTAAATAGCAATTCACTTATAAGATTTAAATCAGAACTTTAGGATTTTAAAAATATAGTTTAATACCTGTTTTTTTCTCATAATTTAGTTTTGTATAAATAACACTAGCTGTTATACTTTTTATTAAACAATAAACTTTTCTTTTATTTAGGTTTAGTTAGTTCAATTTCTGTTGGAATGATGTTTCTATTAGGTCCGCTAACAACAACACTGTGTCAAAGGTTTGGTTGTCGAACAATTTCTATTCTCGGAGGCTTGTTATGCATGCTTGGAATGGCTTTTTCAGCATATGCAAAAACATTAACTATTATGTACTTTTCGTTCGGAATTACTTGGGGTTTAGGAACAAGTTTATGTTATTTTCCAACAATGATTATTTTGGTACCATATTTTAAAAAAAGACTCGCTTTAGCAAACGGAATAGTTGGCGCAGGAAGTGGAATTGGAACATTAGTGCTTAGTCCTTGTATTCAGTGGTTTGCTAAAATATACGGAATTAAAAACACTTTTTTAATGCTAACTGGACTTCACAGCATTGTTTTCTTTTCTGCGTTTGTTTACCGACCAATCAATAATGAGTATGAAATTAAGCAAAATACTGAAAAAGAAACAAAAAATTTTCTTCGACCTCAAATTAATGTCTTAGATACAACGGAAAACAAGGTATCTATATATGCAGATATTGCTTCACTGCTGTTGGACAAAGCTTTTATATCGTGGTGCGTTGGGCTTTCTGTATTTATATTAGGATATTTTGTTCCATTTGTCCATTTGGTAAGACAATATTTTTACTAAACCTTTTTAATACATACATAAAGTCATTACATATGTGTTTATGCATATGTAAGCAATTGAAAAGTATAAGTAATTGAAAAACAATTGCATAATTAATTTAAACTGAATAGTCTTACAAGAATATTGTTAAATAATTATTTTGTTATATATTATGTATTTATTCATATAATATTTAAATTATTACAAATTAGTGGCATAAATTATTTATCAAGTTTTTTTTTATTATTTAAAGCATTTTCAAAGTACAATACTTTGAGAAAGCCTTTAAGTTCAACTAAATGGGTAATTTTTCGACGCATTTTTTTTATCTAAGCAATTTTTAAAATTAATTAAAATTTTTAAAATTACCTTTTTGAGGTATATCAATGAAATTAAATAAAAAGTTAATTTAAATTGTTTAAATGAATTTCAGTTGCTAATAATTTTTAACTTTGCTTTTTTTAATTCAAGCATACATTTAGTAAATACTAAATTAGTAAATTAAGTAAATACTATTTAGTATAATGCATTTAGACTATTAATTTAGTAAATCAGTGCTAAAGTTAAAACTTGGTCAAAAATTTAAATTGAGCATTAGTTTGTTTGGTTAAATAAATTTAATTATTATGCAATTTAAATTACCATATACTGTTAATTACTTTTAAAAATTACTTCTGAACAATAATAATAATTGGTATACTGAAATTTATTCAATATATGATTCATTTGAAAACGCCATGCAATTTTAATTACCGTAAAAAAAGTAAACCTAATTGAAAACAGGTACGAGCAGGGTCTTCAGTCATTTCATGTCATAATTGTTTTGTTTAACCGTTGGTTTTGTATTACAGATATCATCATTTACTGAAGTTAAACAATAAATACGTTAGCAATAACATTAAGTTTATCATTTTTCACATATGCGACAAATGATAAATGAATGTGGTAATGCATATTTTTTGGTATAGCAGATAGAAAAATCTCATCTTTTAGCAAGCACATTTCTGTCTATAAAGGTTCCTACACAGTTTTGTTGAACTATCTTGATAAACAGTTTCTATTTGAACGTGCAAATTTCGATTATATATACGAAACTCGCTTTTAAAAATTTTCGAAAATTCGAATTTCGTTTATATAAAAAAAATTCGCTCGTTCATATAGAAACTTAGTATCAAGATTGTTCTACAAAACTGTGTAGTTACCATTATAGACTGAAATGTGCTTGCTAAAAGATGAAATTTGTTATCTATACCAAGAACTATACTGTTACATTGATTTAACATATACATCATTAAAATGTGAAATAAACGTTTATTTCATTCATCGGTGAGATTAGAAAAAAAATATTAGGCTGAAATGAAATCGAAAAATATTTAAAAGCTTTCGTAATTGCTACAGATAGGCACTTTTTATTTCCGGTATATTTGACATTTAAAGTCAAATTTGTATACAAATAAATTTTTATAATTGCTTTTATTCAGAAATTTTTTTTTTTTTTATTATATTTATTGTTATTTTCAACAAGTGTTGGCTCTCCTTAAAGTAAATTAAAATTGCTTATCGGATATTGGGTAGATTAGAGCATATGAGCATCTTAAGCAAAAATTGGAATATTGTCAAAAATATTTATGCTGGGTCCAAAAAATTTTTTAAATAAACAAACTTTAGGGGTAACTACTCATGATTCACTTAAATATTTAGGCATCCGAAATTTTTTATAAAAAAACAAACAAACAAAAGGTTTTTAAAAAAAAGGGAAAGTGCTCATACTACCAGGACCACTTTAATTAAGTAAAGAAATACCAACCTGACAATTAAAACTTGTAGAATATAATGATTTGTTATTGATAAAACTTGATTAATAAAATCATGAAATGATCATATTTTGTTGAAAATTTTTTATTGAAAAAATACAACTTCGTTTTTACGCAAAGAAAAAAACTTTGTGCATATTCTTTTGCCAGAATATGTACAAAGTAAATTTACATTGAATATATTACCGGCAGGACTTCTTAGCCGCTAATTACTACGTATAAATTTGCATTAATTATACTGTTTTCTATTACCACCTCATAAAGTCAACTCAAAAAAAGAATACAAAACAACTTGAACATCACTACTCACATCAATCACATAAGATATCTTAGAAACTTTTTGGTATGCTCGATTATATGCGGATTGATAATCATATTCGCCGACCATATTCTAAGAATAATCTTTTTAATCAAAAATTTTAATAATCCAATATAGTTTATAATATAAATACACCGGCACTTTTTTGTATATCTTTTTTTTTTTTAATTTTTTACTTTAGCTGCACGCTAGGAAAATTTTATTCAGCGGCTATCCAAACGTGGGATTACTTTTAAAACAAAGTGAACGGCTAGTATAATTTTTTATGACATTTAAAATTCAAAGACTGAGTGTCTATATTTAGCCACGCAATGCTAAATATAGCCATGTGCGCTGCACAAAGTAACTCTTTTTATATAAAAAGAGTTATTTTATGCAGCGCAAGTTGTTAGGGGTCGTTCATAAAGTACGTACCCTTTTTTTTTGCCAACCTCCCCCCCCCCCCAATTTGCCGTATGCTTTTTTGAGTACTCTCTACCTCCCTAAAAGTACCTACGATTTTAACCTACTAACCCAATATTTATGACATTTTTTTAAATTTAGTGTCACCATACTTTTATAATTGACCTACTTCCCCCTTATCTCAGAAACGCCATTTGCAGACCTCCTCTTCCTCTCCGAGCGTACGTACTTTATGGACGATCCCTTAAGCGATCGATACGTTTTATACAAAAATATCACCGAAACAACAACTTCTTGAAAACGATTGAAGCAGCAAGATTTAAGAAAAAAAAAAGAAAAAAAAAAGCAATGTTTAAAAAATGGAAAACTTCTTTTTTAAACCAACACTAATCACTTTTAAATCAGGTTTTTTTTTAATTCTTAGTTTTTAAATTTTGAGAACTTATCTTTTTGATTTTTAATGTTCTGTTAAATTACTTTTTTTTAAATCCGTACACTGAATTTCAAAATCCAAACTGGTTGAAATGCTGATAAATATTATGTTTAATTTGGGTTATTCCATATCAACTGAAGTAAATTTTTATGAGGTTTTTCATCGATCATCTTAGATTTTGGTAAAAATTTTTGTATGTATACAAAAATTTTCATCAAAATCTGATATGATCGATGAAAAACCTCATAAAAATTTCTTTTTTAATGAAAAACCTCATAAAATTTTTTTTTAATACATATTATGTATGAGTTTTGGAAATAAATTTTTGAGAAAACTATATTTAAGTAATTTTGCATTAAGTTTTTTATCATTTTTAACAGCTTATAAGTTTTTATGCAATTTTGTTTTATGCTTAAAATTGCTATGGATACTTTTAATAAGAATACTATGGAAAACAAAAAAAGAAAAACAAAAAGTTTAAAATCTTTTTAGTTTTTCCCAAAATTGATTTGTAAATAAGTTTTCCACACCATGATTTTAAAGAGCTTAATCTTAAAAACTAGATTAAAAATTTATACAAACCAAATTGTCTTTTAATCTTCACGTGGTGGTTAAACATTTATACAAACCAAATTGCCTATTAATCTACACGCGATTAGCAAAATTGATTATACAGATTGCGCGTTTTTGACGGAGATAAAGACGTTGCAACTTACTTTTTTCTGTACTTCCACAAGCAATATTGGCATAATTTAAAAAACTATGTATAAATGAGTAATAAAGTTGGATTAAGACTTTCTTATGGAGAAAGATTCGTGATTTATATAGGATCCCCATGTTTTTATAATTTTTTTACTTATGTAATCAGTATGGTGATTCCAAGTAATGTTTTCATCAAGATGAACACCTAAAAACTTTGCGACAAAATCTCTTTAAGTTTCCTTTTGATTGATAAAGATTTAAGGTAATTTTAATGGGAGAAATCGCTTTTTTTTAATCGATTTTTTGTAATAAATAAAATCCATTTTGTTTTTATTAGTATTCAAGGTTAACTTATTACACTTGAACCAATTAGATATATATCTGAGTTCTTCGTTCACTGTTTTAAAAAGTTCAGCGATATCATAGTAAGAAAGGAATAAGTTTGCATTCAGCTTTATTTAAGTCATTTATATATATTAAAAAAAGGAGAGGTCCAGGAATTGAACCTTATGGGACTCCACAGGTTATATTAAAAAAAGTGGGTTGATAATCATTATTAAATGGTACAAATTGTTTTCGGTTAGTGAGATATCTTTTAAACCATTTTAAAATTTTATCTTTTATTCCGTAGTATTTGAGTTTATAAATCAAAACATAGTGGTTGACCGTATCAAAAGCTTTTGATAGGTCAATAAAAATTCCTAGTGTATGTTGTGATTTTTTAAATGATTTTGAGATTTCACGTAAAAATTGGATAATTCCATGTTCAGTTGAGTTATTTTTTTCTTTGGATTGATTTACTTATATTTATATTTATTTATTTATTTTTTTTAAGCAAAGCGTTCATATATTAAAATTTACAATGAAATAAATCGTGTTAATAAGAGAACTGGAACAAGTTATCTTTGATTGATGTAAAATAGATTATTATCATGAAAGTATTTGTATATTCTGTTGAACTTGAGACAGGTATTTTTAAAACTGATATTAGTGATCACTTCCAATGTACGTTAAAATAAATCCTTTCAAAGCCCCATCCAACGGGTATCTCAAAGTTATAACTCTAAAAAAACGCAACCTATCAGAAGTTAATAAGAACAATCTTTCCGATAAACTAAAGAGACGTGAAATCAGGTTTTTAATTGTGATAATACAAATAAAGCATATAATATTTTTTTAAACACATTTCTTGATATTTATAACGAAACGTGCCTGTATGAATTCAAAATAACTAAAAAAAAAACAATATTGAATGCTTGGATGGATAAAACTCTTATAAAATGTTCAAGAAATAAACAAAAACTTTACAATAAATTTTTAAAAAACAGAA